ATGTTTTCTGTCCTCTGTGACCTGTCTGTGCTTGGGGAGGGGCTGACTTGTGGCAAATGGGTGGAAATAGGAACGGCCCTTGGGATCCATAACACAGTATGGAGGGGAAGGAACATGGCAGAAGAAATGAGCAGCCATGGGCCAGTGCTGAGTGGCTTGTTCTCCATCTGTAGTAGTGAGGAAGGAGAGAAGCTGAGGCACATTGCACAAGTGGTCCCTGGTTCTACTCCTGGCTGGAAAACCATCTTAGTCAGGGAGATGTCATTTTCATGGGCGGACTCTTTACATGATTCAGGACTTTCATTTCTGGAGATCAAATGACTTGCTACAGAAACCTATCACAATGTCTCCAAATTCTGCATCTCTCTCCTTGAAAAGCTCCAAGTCTAGCCCCTTGGAGATGAAATATAGTTCAAAGGATGTGTGAACAAAGTGTTTACTGGGATTTGGTTTGCAGTAGCAGGGAAGGAGGGGGAGAAGAAGATGGAGAGAAAGAACCATACACATCTTAGTTCATCCTCAGGAAAGTGGCTCAAGTATTGCAGGACAGATGTGGTATGGGACAATGGTCTGTATTCAGTCACTTATATTTTAAATAAACGCTGATTAACCAGTAGCCAGGCAGGAAGTATAGATGGGACAACCAGACAGGAAGTAGAGGCAGGTCAATGAGAACAGGATAATTCTGGGAAGAGGAAAGCTTGGTCTTCAGTCCTGACCCAGCCACAGAAGAAGCAAGATGTGACTGCCCCGCCAAATAAGGTACCAAGCCACGTGGCTAACATAGACAAGAACAATGGGCTAATATAAGTTATAAGAGTTAATAAAAAGCCTGAGCTAATGGGCCAATCAGTTTATATCTAATGTAGACCTCTTTGTGATTTCTTTGGGACTTAACGATTGTGGGAACCAGACAGGACAGAAACCTCAGACAACACAGATGCACATGGAATGCGGTGCAGCTATTGCAATGACTGTGTTAGGACTGTGCCTGTCACGATGGAAGGCATGTGCATGATATAATGTGCAGAGTTGTAAGAGTGAGCAGAGGTGTAGTTCAGTGGCAAAGCAGGCCCCTGGGCTCCATCTCCAGCATTGGAAAAGCAAGTGAGAAAGAGATACGTTTGAAAAAATAAATAAAATGCCAACTATTTATATGCAACAAGTATGTAAAAAGACAGATGTGTGAGCAAGACGCAAAAGCACCTAGGCAGGTGAGATTGGACATCTGAGCTAGAAAAGGCATGAATAACAGATGCCAGAAAAAATATATGACAAAGAAAGATGGGCTCAGAAGATGGTGAAGTTCTTGCTGCATAAGCATGAGAAACTGAGTTCAGATCCCTATCCTCCACATAAAATCCTGAGTATAGCAGCAGGTGCCTCTAGTTCCAGCACTGGGAAATGGAAGCATGATGTGGGATTCCCCTCTGTATGCTGTAAATACCATTGGTTAATAAAGAAACTGCTTTGGGCCTATAACAGAGCTATAGGGGAACAAAGCTAGGTGTAGAAAACTAAACTGAATGCTGGGAGAAAGAGGGCGGAGTCAGAGAGAAGCCATGTAGCCCTGCTGGAGCCAGACGGAACTTTACCTGGTAAGCCACAGCCACGTGGCAATATACAGATTAATAGAAATGGGTTAAATTAATATGTAAGAGTTAGCCAATAAGAATATAGCACTGCCTTTAAGTTATATCTTTCAAAGTCTGAATCCATCAATAGATTAACCATTGCTTAGGTCATAGCCCTTGCAATCTAACTGACTGACAATGCCCTCACAGACACATCAGAGAGAGCTGTGCTTTACTGATTCCTTTGTTGTCTCTCAGTCCATTCGAGTTCACTACCAGTGCTGACCATCACAAAGTCTTGACACGAATTACCCAACTTGGAGCACCCAGACAGTGTTCCTCCTGGTGTGGTCATGATTCCCTTGGGTTATGATTTCATCTTGTTCCAGCCCAAGCCTCTGATCTCCTTTTCCATCATCCGGTTTTCCTGTACCTCTCCCTCTTCCTCGCAGAGTTAGTGCAAGTGAACACACACATGTGTATGTGGTGCATGTGTGTATGAAATTGTAAAAGAATATATTTTTAAAGCACAAAAGCTGGGCCAGGCGATGGTGGCGCACTCCTTTAATCCCAGCACTCGGGAGGCAGAGGCAGGCGGATCTCTGTGAGTTCGAGACCAGCCTGCTCTACAAGAGCTAGTTCCAGGACAGGCTCCAAAGCCACAGAGAAACCCTGTCTCGAAAAACCAAAAAAAAAAAAAAAAGGCAGAAAAGCTGAAGTTTAAAGAGGCACGATGTTTGTTAGAAATTATATGATGTTAAGGTTATGAATAGATGCAGGGGAAGAATAAACACAGAATCCGCGCACTGGTTCCCTCTAGGGAGGGAGGGAACGGCTTACATCAAGGAAAGAATCATATCATGGTTTTCAATTGCTTGGGCAGTGTTTTGTTTCATCAACGTGATGGCCCAAAGCTGCTCTTGAAGTCTCTTTCAGATGGGAATTACTTTATAACTGTTAAACCAACAAATAATAACCACCAGAAATGTTCTCACCGCTTATTATCAGGTACCAAGAGTGGGAAATAAAATTGGATATGCACTGTGCTCTCAATTTCATAATAACAGAACAAATAAAAAGCAACTATAGGGCTTTTTTTTTTTCCCTCAGACCAGCAGATGAGAAGTCTGGGACAACTGTTATTGCCCTTTTTTATACTTAATAAGTTATTGCAATTTATTTCCAAACTTTTCCACTGACTGAATATTGCTTTTGGTATCAAAATCAAATGTTACTTCTTTATTTAAAAAGACAAACTGGTTCGCCTTGAGTACAGGAGCATGGTAATATTTAGGCTGAAATAGGGGGAAAATTATCCAAACTGAGCTTGGGAATTACCGAACCCACTTGAAGTCCTCAGCTCTCAGCTGGCAAAATTTTCTTATCTGTAAAATGCTTAAATAATAACAACAACAACAGTAATAATACTGAGTGCCTCCTCAGATTGCCTCAAGAGGCATTGTGGGAGGTGATGAGATGATGTATACCTTGCTTTTTTTTTCCTCTCTCATTGTTAGGACAAAATACTTGAAACAGACACATAATGGAGGAAGGATTTATTGTGGTTCACCGTTTCCTATGGGTCAGTCCATCGTGGGGAGGGGACAAAGTGGCACTGGGATGGTAAGGGGCCGGGGCAGGACATAGTTCCCAAGAACAAGGGCGTTGTCCTCCAACAAGAACCCACCGCTGGTGTTTTACCAGCTCCCAGCAGCGCCATCCTGCTTTGAGTCCACCAAGGTCATCCATTGGCCTTGATCAATTAGTCCACCATTGGTCATCCGTTGGGTCAAAGTCTCACGGTCTAGTCACCTCTGGAAACACACTCACAAACACACTCAGAAGTGTGCTCCATTCATCTTAGGTTTGTCTTAATACAATCAAGTTTGCAACTGAGTTCGTTTGGTGGTTTTTGACCCACAGATGACCACTGGGCAAGATTGTGTAGTAGACAGCCAAGGGGAAAAGATGAGCTCCCAGGGGACAAGTGCATTGCTGGGAACACCTCAGGACAGGGTGACAGACTATCTGTACAGCCTAGAGAAGGGGATGTGATGGCCCCTGTTGCAGGACAGCATGATCCAAAAGGAAGAGACTGACATCACTGCTATGTGGCAAGGAGAGATAAACTTTGACCTCAAGCAAACCAGAATAGACTCCTATAAACCAAGCAAACACCCTCCAGACGACATAGGGATGACATGAAAGGAACAAATAAAGCGCAGATGTGAGCATTGGTTTCCTCTCGGTCTCTCCTCCCGGCACTCTTTATTTGTATCAAAGGGAGAGAGGACCACACCCCTCCAGAAAATGATGCTGACAGAACAGATTGAAACACAGATTCTGTATTCAGCCTTGTGTTGGCATTAGAAATCTCTGAGAGACTGGAAATGTAACAGGGCACCAGGCAGGCGAGGACAGTTGCCTGGAAAACAGTGCAATGCTCCGAAAAAGCCACCGTCGTGAGGCTACTTAGCACAGTGCCTATAGGACATAACTGATAAATTCTAGCAGCAGAGTGGCCTTGAACTCCTGCAGTGCCCGGAAGAAAGCTAGGAGTTGTTAGGAGACTTACTAGGCACTGGAGTAGTATGGGAGGCAGAAGTGTACCAGGAAAATGAAGCTGCCATCCTTTGAACTCAAAACTCTAGAATTCCTGACATGGGACTGAAGAGATGCCTCAGCGGTTAAGAGCATTGGCTGCTCTTCCAGAGGACCTGGATTCGATTCCCAGCATCTACAAGGCAACCCAGAAACATCTGTAACTACAGTTCTACAGGACCCAATGCCCTCTTCTGGCTTCTGCGGGCTCCAGGCACGCGTGCGGTACACATACATACATGTGGGCAAAGCACCCATGAACATAAACTAGGAAAGAATTCCTGTCATTTTCATGACCATTCCATGTGTGAACACTGGTATCGTCCCCATTTTGCCAATGAGGAAACAGGCATGGATCCATGTCATGTTTTGCATACAGCTGCACTAGGGTAAAGCCAGAATTTTATTATTTTTTATTATTAATTTTTTTTCGCGTCAGGGTTTCTCTGTGGCTGTGGAGCCTGGCCTAGAACTAGTTCTTGTAGAGCAAGCTGTCCTCGAACTCACAGAGATTCTCCTGCCTCTGCCTCCCAGGTGCTGGGGTTAAAGGTGTGCACCACCACTGCCTGGCAAGTCAGAATTTTAAATCAGTTGTCTGGAACACCTCTATCTCTACAGACTGTTGGGTGCTCCCAGGCAAGCTGGTTCTGACAGCCCAGGTGCGCACAGGTGTTCTGGAGCACAGGTTGAACACCTGCAGAGCTTTCTGTGGGGATCCCTGACAACATTCTGTGAGTGAACCTTCCTACAGAACAGACAGCCCAGAGCCTTCCCACGGCAATGCTCTGAGAGTAATAATGAGTGATTTCCTCTTGTGTCTTTCAGCTCACAGCCCCGCACTTCCCCGTGGTGATCAAGCTGGGACATGCCCATGCTGGCATGGGAAAGGTAAGGTTTGAGAAGTGCTCTGCATACAGTCAATATAGCCACCTCTCCCCAGACTACCTGCTGCCCCTTTCCCACTGGTACAGCCCTCAGGACTCCCCCAGACTGTCTGCTGCCCCTCCCCACTGGTGCAGAGACCCCTAGGACACCCCCAAACTACCTGCTGCCCCTCCTGCACTGATGTAGTTCCCCCGGAACTCCCCCAAACTATCTGCTGCCCCTCCCCATTGGCACAGTCTCTGGAAGAGAGTATTAGAAGTAATCTACAATCCACCTCCCTCTGCTCCCAGCTGACTTTCCAGAGCTTACACTGACTGTCTCTCTCCTCAGCCTGAGCTGTGAACATCACCTTCATTTGATAACTTACAGTTCTCCGCGGTTATAACTTAAGAGACATGAGGGAAAAACGTTTGCTGACAACGACTCTTTTGTGTCAAGTAGCTATTATCTTCTAGTGCTATAAGCTCCTGTCCTATTTGTCCCTTTATCACCTGCTGGGCCAGCACCACCAAAGTGCAAACAGGACCCCCAGCAGGAGCCCTGGAGGCAGCAGGCTTCTGCCAAACTAAACAAAGTACTTTAAACAGTCACAGATGACATCCAGGGCAGCTGTACTGGTCAGCTTCTCAGCTGCAAGTCTCAAAGCTAAACTTGTTTTTGGACCCCTGACTGAGGTCTCTCTTCCCAACATCATGTCCCCTGGGAGATAGCTTGGGTTCGTGTACCTTTCTCCCATGAGAGGAGAGAGAGATGGGTGGGCCCCAGACAAGAGGAAAATCCAATCCTAGGGTTGTGTGCAGTAAGGAGCTATAGCAGGATACCTCCTGGGCCTCAGCAAGAACTAAATGACAAAGGAGGGGAGGGGTCTTGCCTTGATCAGCTCAGACAGCTGTACAGTTCTGCACTTCATACCTGTATTCTTCTCTACCTGCCAGACTGCCCCCCGGATCCCTTCCTACCTGTGCTCTTCAAATTCAGGTGGCATAAGGAGAGGGTGAGGCAGGGTAGGGTGGGGCAAGTTCTAAACCAGCCCCTTTGGGCTTCTTCATCTGTTAGATGATGTTTCTAATGAACAGCCTCTAAAGTGAGTCTTTCTGTGTGCATCAGCCTACTGTCCATGTGACAAAATGTGTAAGAAAATGAGCTTCTAGGAAGTTTGTCTGTCTGTCTGTCTATTTCTGCCTGTTTCAGAGTTTTTGATTCATGACCACATGGCCCTGTTTGGGGGCCTATGCTGATACAGTTTACCACAGCACAGAGGGTGTGTTGACTCAAAACTGTTCTTGTCAAGGCAGCTGAAGGAATGAGAGTAACAAAGCTACTGCCCTTCAAACCCTTTAGGCTATGAATTCATTGATGAGATCTGAGCCCTCCTGACCCAATCTTCCCTCCTGAGCCTCTGTTTCTAAATCGCTGCAGTGGGGACACACAATTAACGAGTTTGGGGAGGGCATTCAGTATCCAAACCATGTACCTCTGTCCAGACTCCTTGGAACATCCACAGGGTAAAGAAAGGAATGTTTGCTTCTTTTCCCATTCCTGTATCTCAGGACCTGGGATTGGTGTAATAGTTTAAGGGCAGCAGAAAGGCAACCTTGGCGGTTGGAACTGAGGGACACCACAAGGTCACAGCAAGCAACAGAGGTTTATTTGGGGACCCGCAGAGGCTGGCCTCTGACGGGGGAGCAGGAGGAGTGGGGGTCAGGAAGGGCTTGCCTTTTATTACTTAGGGAGAGTGCTCTACTTGGTAACTGTGGTAGTTACAGCATCTTGGCTGCTGCTGCTGACTTGTCCTGCTAGGTCTCTGGGAGAAGGCAGAGTAAATGTCTGAATGTTAATAATGGGGCCTGGTGGATGGGTGGATCCTCCTCTAGAAGCCTATCCCTTCTTTGCCCACTACTTCACCCACCATCTGGGTGGAAAGCGCCCTCCCCATGGTTCCCAATTGCCTTCATGCTAATCCATGCTAATTCTTCTGTCCTGAACTTATGTCTTTATATCACTTAAGCTTTCTGAGCATCCCTTCTTATCCCCAGACTTTTTCCCTAGTGGCCTCTGATTCAGGTTCTTCTCCCTCAGTTTCAATGATTTTGTCTCCAGTGTCTTTAAAGGACAAACTCTCCTACGCCATCCCTGACCATGGCCGCGCCATAAGCACTCCCTCAGCTTCGGCTGTCATCCTCATGTCAATACCTCCTGAGTCGTATTTCCTATGTTTCCAATTACCTCCTGTCTTTTGTTACCTTGTCTCCATGGTAACATCCCAAACAATGTCCATTATCCCCCCCCCCCCCATTTTTATTCCTCCTCTCCTGTGACTTCCATATCTGGAGCAGACACCTGTCATTCCGTTATCTCAAAACCGAAACCAAAGGGTGAGGGTAGCTCAGAGGCAGAGTGCTTGACTAGCACATCCCAGCCCCGGGGTGATCTTCCATCTCCAACACAAACAACTCAGAAACATATGTGTCATCTCCACCTTCTCCATGTCCAAAGAGCCACCAAGTTCTTGTCACCCGAGCCTGTTTCTCTCGTTGCCCCTTGCCATCTGCCCACCATCACCATCTTGAACGACTCTGGTAAAGTCAGAGGGTTCCCAAGGACTTAATTATATCACTAAAGCTTAAAATAATCACCAAGGGGAAATAAGGAAGTGCCTAGAGAGTTGAATGTCATGCGTCAGCAAGGGGGATGTCCCAAAGGTCGAGAAGTCAGTCTCCAAACTGAGAAGGTGACATAGACCAAAGTAAACATGGGTTTTCAAGAATGCTGACACGGAGGAAAGGGGGCTCTTCCCCGTAGATGTAAAATGAGAAAAGCTGCAAGAACACTCTGGGAAAGCTGACTGAGCAGATGATGTCATGTCCATGCTGAGAGGGTAAAGAACACAACACGTAGCTCCTTTAGTCTTTGTACCTTTTCATAAGAAGAGAGATGTGTGGCTACAGACCAGCAGGGAAAGCATGCCCTGAAGACGCCTAGTAAGGAGGTATCAATGCCCCTGGTGTTTTGCAAAGCCCATCCAGGACCCAATGGGTGCAGCCATTGACCCACCCTCAAGCACATGTACTCGTGTGGTACACCACAGACCTGTGCCTGTTCTACAGTGGGAGTCAGACAACCAATAGGACCCAGTCTCTGCCCTCAAAACATTGTGGAGACCATCTCATACGTAAGTAAGGAATAAGCCAGGTGTGATGACACCTATAGTTCAAGTATTCAGAAGGCTAAGGTAGTAGGGTCATGAGTGCAAGACTTTCCTGAGCTGCCCAGTGAAAGCCTATCTCAATAGTAAATAAATAGAGACTGTTTATACACGGGGTATGATGGAAGACTATGGAAAGAATGCAGAGCTTAAAGAAGAACTCAATCCCACCTAGCATATGGAGTCTCCTGCCACAGTGGATTCTTTCAGGCAGGGGCTAGCTGAAAGAACCCTTTTTTAACACAATATGGAAATGTTCTGAGTGGAGCACAACATGATCATAAAAATTCAAGAGGTGGATTGATTCATTCATGACATCAGAGCCCTCCCGAGCCATTCACCTCCAAACCACATGGGAAAGACGTCTGAATGAGTTGACACTTGATGTTGAAAGTCAAGTAAATAATGGTCAGTGGTGGTGATGAGTAAGACTGTGCCAGTGGGAAGAACACAATCAAGCTGCCAAGATGGCATGGGAAAGCTGCATAAGGCTGGGTGGACCTGGGAGGTCCAGGATCCCAATAAACCAGAAATAAACAAGACAGATATGGGCTAACTCCCTTGCATTAAAACAAAGAACATGGGTTCTTCCATGGGGCAAAGAAACCAAAATCTAGTGAAATACTGGATTTGGGGGTGCTTAGACAAGCAGGGTAAAATCATGGGTGTGCTGGCTAGTTTTTGTTTTGTGGGTTTGGGTTCTTTGTCAGCTTGACACACCTAAAGTCATCTGGGAAGAAGGAGCCTTAACATGTTGTAAGGAGAGGGCTGCTTGTTCGTCCCCACCACCCGGCTAGCTTAGCCCCGAAATAACCACACAGAAACTGTATTAATTAAATCACTGCTTGGCCCATCAGCTCTAACTTCTTATTGGCTAACTCTTACATATTAGTTTAACCCATTTCTATTAATTTGTATATCACCACGAGGTTGTGGCCTACCAGCAAAGTCTCAGCACATCTATCTCCAGCCACGGATCCATAGCGTCTCTCTGATTCCACCCTTCTTTATCCCAGCATTCAGTTCTGTCTTCCCTGCCTACCTAGGTTCTGCCCTATCAACAGGCCCAAAGCAATTTCTTTATTAACCAATGAAAGAAACACAAAGACAGAAGGACCTCCTACACCAAATTATTGCCTCCATCAGATAGCCTATAGATAAGTCCAAGGTGCATCTTCTTGATTATGATCTGTGTGGGCAGTGCCATCCCTTGGCAGGTGGTCCTGGGTGGTAATAGAAAGTAAACTGAGCAAGCAGTGGGGAGAAAGCCAGTAAGCATCATTCCTTAGTGGTCTCTGCTTCCTGGTTCCAGCCCTGACTTCCCTCTGTGATGGACTGTGACTGAGACATGTAGGCCAAAAATCCTTTTCCTCCCAAAGTTCCTATTGGGCATGGTGTTTATCACAGCAATAGAAAGAAAACTAGGATGGGGTGGGGTAGACTGTGAGCTTTCCAGAAGTCAGGGGAAATAAGCAGCTGAGGATCTACTTTCCAAAGGACACGGGGCCACGTCTAGAAACAATGTTAGTTGTTACATTTGGGAGAACATGGGGTCCTTCTGGATCCTACAAGGAGGAAGCCAGAACACTGCTAAACACCCCACACTGCACAAGATAGCCTCCCACCTCAAAGAACTACACAGCCCCAAACATCAGCAATGTCAAATGGAAGGAAAAATCGTTTCATTTGGGTAAAAATGATTTTTTTTTCCCCTGTTGAAAATTTTACAAGCCTGGAACCCAGGTGGTGCTGTGGGGATTGTAGAGTCTGACATGTTTCAAAGTCTAGAGGAGATTCC